GGCCTGCTGGGTAGAGGCCGGGAAAGGCCTGGCTTCTTCAAGGCGGGGCTCGGAGGCCGGGGCTGTAGGAGGAGGGAGAGCCCTGAAAGCTTGTGTTTGGGGATTGGACCGAGACTGAGGCCTGAGGAGGGTGTGGAGCAGCGGCTGTGCACTTTTTTTGTTTGTTTTTAAAATATATTTTTGTTGATTTCAGAGAGGAAGGAGAGGGAGGGAGAGAAACACCAATGATGAGAGCATCATGGACCGGCTGCCTCCTGCACGCCCCACACTGGGGATCCAGCCTGCAACCCAGGCCTGTGCTCTGACCGAGAACCGAACCGCCACCTCCTGGTTCATAGGTGGACGCTCAACCCCTGAGCCGCGCCACCGGGCTGCCGTGCACCCTGAACCCTGTGCCCGCTGTCCCAGGCCAGTGGCCGCCCCACTCCTGCCTTCTCCTGGCCATGTCCCCCAGCTGGCGGCATCGGGCATGGGCAGGACCACGGGGCTGTGTGGCAGGCTGGATGGAGCCCTGAGCCAGGAGTCGGGGTGGCCTGGCCGCCCTGCCTGGTGACCCTTCTCTCCAGCACGGCTGACCCTGGAGCCTCAGCCTGTCCTCTCTGAGGCGGCCCCTGCCGACAGCCTGGTCAGGTGCAGGCAGTGGGGCCCCTCCCTCTACCCCAGGAGGGTGGCGACAGCTGGGGGAGAAGGGGCTGGGAGTCCAAGTGTGGGTAGCCCCGATGGGGGCCGGGCCTGGGGCTCAGCATTCCTGTGGCCCGGCATTCCACGTGGGCCCCCTCCTGAAAACTTCGCCTGTGTCCCAGCCCCCAAACCACAGTAACAATAACACCAGCCCACGCCCGCACACCTGCTGCTCCCCAGCGGCCTCTTCCCCTCCGCCCGCCTCTCCGCAGGGACTGTGACCGTTCCTCCACCCCAGGGCCCAGGGGAGGAGAGGTGGGCGGAGCTGGTCGGGAAGGGGGTCCCGGGGGCCATCCCTGCTGTGCACCAGGCCCTCGGTGGGCCTCACTGATTTCCGGGGCTGCGAGCGGGTGAGGCAGCCGAGCTCAGATGCAGACGCCTGTGCGGTCCTCGGGTTCGGGGGGGCGGGGGGAGGGCGGGTGTCTCTCACAGGCTCCTCCTCAGATCGGGAGATGGAGGCTGAGGCTGCCACCCCTGCCCCTGGCCCCTTGCAGCCTTCCTGCTGGGCAGGCCCTTGCGTCCATGAAGGCTGCCCTCCCCCAGGTCCAGCCCCAGCCCCTCCCAGGACACAGGCCCGAGTCCCCAGGGAGAGCCGTCTCCCCTCCCCCCCTCCCACCTGTGCTCCCGGTTCCATCCGGACGTGGCTGTCGGGGGCCCTAATTGCCAGGCTCCCTCTGCCGGGGCCTCTGGCCTCTGCACAGCTGGGG